AGAGAGCAGTGACACATGACTGTCACAGGGTGGACGTCTCTACATACAAGCTATGATTGACTGCTCCAAGCTCGCTCCTGTGATGGACTACAATCTCATGTTTAGTTTACTCATTTGAATTGAGATTGTAGTCCATCACAGGAGTGAGCTTGGAGCTGTGGCTACTTTATAACACACAGGGTCCAATGGGAACAAAAGTAGCCACCCTCCAGAGGAAAGGGCATGATTTCAGAGATGATTTGAGAATCTACAGCCGAGTGATACAGAAAAAAGCTGCATTTTTGCTAATAGTTAAGATACTTCAATGCATTTTTAAGATTTAACTCCTGAGTTTAGTGTCACTTTAAAATTAACCTTTCCATTTCCAATAAAGAGTACCTTTATAATCCACTGTTTCAATATTAAACAGTACAGCTATTATGATGTTCTTTTTGACTCAAAAGTCAATAATAAAGTCCCCATCTCAATCTCTAACCATTCCTCATGGCCATATGGTGGCCATGAGTGCAGAGAGCAATGGCACATGACTTTAACAGGAGGGGCAAAGGTGTACTTGGCATGTGACCTGTGACTGACAGCTTGGCATCAACCTCATCAAAAGTAGCTACCCTCCAGAAGGAAGGACAGTGTCAGCACCAATTCAGAGTTGATTTGGGAATCTACAGCCGGGTGATACACAAATAAGCTACATTTCTGTTAAATGTTAATAGTTAAGATACTTGAATGCATTTTAAAGATTTAGCTTAAGTGTCACTTTAATGAGAGTGCTGGCTGTAAGTTTAAACAAACTTTAAGCGGGCTTCAAGCTTTAGGAAAGTTGCCCAAAGCTTGGTAGATGCTCGTTGAAGTTGCTGCTCTTCCGTTTACAAGCTAGGATAGAACAATGCCTATGTATTTATGTGCCTATACCTCAGCATGTGTTTTTAGGAGACTTTGCTGTAATTTCCTAACACGCAAAAAAAGGAAAAGCTCTGCATGCAATATTTCCTTTGTTTATATTATGTGCATTCTGCAGACTCATAGAAATACAGTTTAATCTGTACACTAAAATAGCAATAGTAATAAATGACGGCTCACATCCATTCACAGAGAAATTTGAGTGTTTATTTTAAATTAATCCTCATCCTTTAATTTTCGAGTAGCCCAGACAGGCTGTTTTCTTTTGCTTCTCCAAAGTACAAATCTTAAATATTTACATTTCATCTGATAGGAACTTTTTATAATTGTCATGCAGCCTTTTTGGAATGTTTACAATTAAATATAGGAGCATTTTAAATGCCATAATAAAAACATTTTACTTAAGATGTATATTTTTCTATGCTGTGATGTACTTTACTGGCACTTTAGGCCCCACTTCAAAAAGTTGCATCTCTATATATGAGCCATGCTATAGTGATGTTAAAGCAAACCTGTACATTGCCCATGTAGGACAATGCCTAAAAATGACATGACTAAAACTTCACATAAACATGTTGATGTAACTTCTAAAGTAATTTTATTATTTTTAAATCCACAGTTTTCATTACAACAATAACCGCTGCTTCTTCTTTGTTGCATTCTCTCCCCTCACCCCCCATCCCGAGGAGGCCCCCACATCCACTCCTAACATCTCCCTAATTAGTGACCACCCTGCCTTCCTTTACCTTCTGTAACCCTCATCCTTCCCTTCACCTAACCCCTTTTAAATTCTTAAAAATATCAGGTCCAGTCACATGCTCAACTCTTATGCTTCAGCCCTGGCCCTCTTCCCTACATGCAGGGAACATTTAAAGTGCAAGGAAGAGTATTATCCCCTTTTATCATATTGCACATCTGTATGATCCTGTATGTAATCAATGTCACATTTTTATGGTGAAACTGATTTCCTCTACCAGAGGATATGTAACTCTTATTGATATGTACTCCTAATGAACACATTGGGGTTGCTATATCAATGGCAAATAGATTGTTCACTCTGGAAGGGAACATGAACTTTTCAGGGTAAGTTTGCCTAAGTAAGTGAGGTGAAATTTGCCTTTGCAAAGTATACCCAATCACATACAAGGAAAATAAACAAATAAAAAAACAGTATTTTTGCTTGCACATGATTGAGTGATGGAAGTCAGCAGAGCTTCACCTCATTCCCTAGACTAAGAGGAAACTTCCCGTGCAAAGTGCAAATTCCCTTGTAAAGAGAACAGCCTATTTGCATTTAGTAAATCAACCCCAATGTGTAAGCAAAGGCTTGTTCCACCCTTTGAACCGTGTAATAAAAATTAAATAACTCCTGGTTTAAAAAAAAAAAATAAGTAAATAAAAGACCATGCTAAAATTAAAATGTGTATTCCTTAGCAGCTGTGGAATCCCTCTCAAAAAGATTACAGAAATTGCAATACAAAACACAGCTCTATGCGTGATATAAAAATATAAACAACAAACTTATATATAACATATGTGTTTCACCAAATGTACAAATTTCAATTAATAATCCACCTAATAGTGTAACACGAAAATGAGTCCATACAAAAAAGTGAAGATCAGTCTACACAAAATGAGTAAATATTAAATGCACACAAATCTTCTTCTCCTTGATAA